CTCCCTGTCAGGACGTGCAGGCCAAGTGGACCCCAAGGCTTGCCCCCCAAATCCCCGTCGTCGCGTCCTGGCCCTGACGGGATGTGCAGCTCCGAGAAGGGGCGGGGCGGGGGGCACTGTGCCCGTAGCAGCGGCGGCTTTTGCTGAGTTTCCACTAGCTGGGAGCTCCGGCCGCCGGGGAAGGCTGCCGGTGACGGTAGCGGGGGGGGTGGGGAAGAGGGGGGCGTCGCTGTGGGTCGCCCGGCATCGCGAGGGCAGAGCCGAGAGGCTCTTCACTCTCTGAAGTCATTGTTTGCCAGTCCTGAAGTGGCGTGGCAGACTCCCTGGAAGGGTTTTCTGGCCTGGGATAGAGTCAGTCTTTGCCTTCCAGCTCAGATGTAAATTTTAAGCCTACTTTCGAGCTTTTTTTTTTTTCTATCCTGTCGAAAATGGGAAAGGCATCTTGAGTGGAGGCACGTTCTGAGTATAACTTATAGCGTATAAAAAGAATGTAACATGCACGGTGGATGTTTGGATTGGAGGAACTTTTTACACATTTAAATTTGAGGCTTTTGCTTTGTTTCAGTGCAACCAACTTTCATCACCGTAAGCCTATAGATTTTTAGAGGGATAAGGGCCATTGTACTCCGGAACACTTGTTGGACGGGGTTCGGAGAAATTCCTCTCTCAGGGCCAACTCTGTAATAGAAAGGGTTTATATATTTTTAAATCAGAGCTGTTCGAAATATAATGTAGCTCTGCTCCCCCCACCCCCAATCTCGGAAAGAAAGGAAGAAAGAAGGGAGGGAGGGGAAGAAGGAAGGAAAGAATGAGAGAAAACCAAAGTTTTAGGGACGGTGACTAGAGTTAAAATACGCAGAAGAAAGACTCCTTGTTTAAACCTAATTGTATCACTAGGTTGAGAAACAAACCTTATCCCTTGACCATGTAAAATTTCCACCTCATTATGTTCCTCGCAGCTTCAGTACTCATAAAGGAGTGATTTGAACTCTGACCACTCTTTATGGACACAACACTACATTAATTGTAAGAGTCTGGCTACTCAGAACAGACTGGTTAGGTCAGCTTTGCTTTTTTATATATTAGTTTATTCTGTTGGTAAATTTACCACCTGAGTTTTCACTTTACACTCTTAAGAAAATGTAGGTTTTCTCTTTCAGTTTGCGTTTTCCTGCCCATTACTTCATTTAGTAAAACCAACATGCTTGAAGACAAGCTTTAGGAAAGGCATTTTAACTGTTTACTTTTTCAACAAGAAGCATAAAAATAAGTCTTGCTTGTCTTACTGGGGAGTTAGATGTTAAAAATTATTTACTGCCCTCGTCAGCATCTGCAAGTAGCATATTTTGGAGGGTCTGTTTGTTCTATTTCAGAATGATGAGGTGAAAAAATAATCCCAGTAACACTTATTTTGTCATGTCAGAATTAGGAGTATTTAGGTTTCCAGTTATATCAGTGTTGATTCATCCCATTGCTTTCCTACAGCGCAAACATGAATGTTGGAGTTGCCCACAGTGAGGTGAATCCAAATACCCGTGTAATGAACAGCCGGGGTATGTGGCTGACATATGCTTTGGGAGTTGGCTTGCTTCATATCGTTTTACTCAGTATTCCCTTCTTCAGTGTTCCTGTTGCCTGGACCTTAACAAATGTTATACATAATCTGGTAAGAATTTCACCTTATGCTGAACACTTAAGGTTTAATGGTTTTACAGAGACTGGGCAAGGCAGGAATGGGAAGGTACTGTTTTGCAAGACGAAAAGAGTTGTGGAGATGGATGGTGGTGATGGTCGCGTAACATCATGAATGCACCGAATACTATTGAACTGTATGCTTAAGAGTGGCTAAATGGTCCATGTTATGTTAGTGTATTTAAACACAGTTTTTTAAAAAGCTTAAAGTTTTATGTTACAAAGAAGAAAAACACATGACTCAGTTTTTTAAACAGTTTGATTGAGATATAATATAAAATTCACCCATTTAAAGTGTACAGTTCAGTGATTTTTAGTATATATGACAATTTTGAAGAATTCTTACCTGGAATAAGATTATATTTTTCCTATCACTTTATATTTAAACATTGGACCCTTTTTGTAAGTAAGACATTTTTTTCTCCTGTTGGTTTTGTAAAATCTGAAAAAAAGTAGGGCATTTTAGCAAAAATTATAAGACACTATAATTCAGGCCACTATAATATGTTGATTAACAAAATGTATCAGAGGAAGTAATTATGTTTTTTGGTTAACTGGAGTCTAATGAACATCTTTGGTTTAAATCCTTTCTAAGTTGTATATATATACTTTTCTATTGCAGTATAGAAATTTTGAGCTTAATCATATCTTATATGATTCAGAAACTTATGATGCCTTAGCTTCTTCCTGTTGACTATTGCTCTTTTGTATTATATGATAGCTCTACAGAGTACCAGAGGTTAGATTGACTCTACTGACCATATTATGCAGCCCTGGAAATTGCCTGTTTAAAAACAAAACAAAACAAAACAAAACGTGATAGTGAGTTTTCTTGTCTTTAACAGCCTATTAAAGTAAAATGAAAGGGGAGAAATCTGGTTAATTGAAACTTTTAATTGAATCCAGATTAACTATATATTTGTTTAAAGATCTAACCAAAATGAAGAGCTTAGAACTTTAAGACAGAAAAATGTAGGAGAAATAGGTTTTTAAAAAATTGATATTATTTATATCTTCTGGAAAGCATTTGAAGTTGACTGGAGGATGACAAAGATGATGTGGTAGAGATCAGTGAATGTCCCTTTAGTCCATTTTATGTGATAGACTTTGGAAGGAAGTGTTTAAAAAACACTGTTTTTTTTTTTTTTTTTTTTTTCTTGCGTTATGCGGGCCTCTCACTGTTGTGGCCTCTCCCATTTGCGGAGCACAGGCTCCGGACGCGCAGGCTCAGCGGCCATGGCTCACGGGCCCAGCCGCTCCGCGGCATGTGGGATCTTCCCGAAACGGGGCACGAACCCGCGTCTCCTGCATCGGCAGGCGGACTCTCAAGCACTGCGCCACCAGGGAAGCCCAACACTGTTTTTAAATAGTGACTTCTCTGAAATATTTGACACTAATCATATCCCTTTTATTGGAATTCTTTTCCTTTGGCTTCCATGGGATTGCTTTTTCCTAGATGTATTTCTGATCTTTCCTTTACTATTTCCTCTTGCACAGTTTTCTCATTTCCTCTCTTAAATATTGCTGTTGTCAAGGTTTTTTTTTTTTTTTTTTTTTTTTTTTTTTTTTTTTTTTTTTTT